GATATACTACAGTATATTCATACTACACCAGTACTATAAAAGTCGCATTGACCATTATTTAATTTTGGTGCAATTCAAGTTTTTGTTTTTCATCTTTAAAGTGTATGTTCCATGGCCTGGATATCTCCAATCCAGGATTGAATATGGCTGCCTGATATGATAAGGAGAGTGCCTGCCAAGAAAAGGATGCCTCTGCAGATTATTTACACCAAGCCCACTATCAAGTCTTGGTGATGGCGCCTTCTGAACGTCTGAAACATAGGAAAAACATAGTTCTTAAAGGAGAGGGTTTGGAGACAATTGGGAATTGGGGACTAATGGCTGTATTGTTTTATTTGGGCTTTAAACTTATAATAGTTGTATAGGCTGCTCAGGGCCTATGAGAATTGAAAGCCATGGAAATTAAATGATCATTATTGTCATCATCTATATAGCACTTTAGTGTATCCAAATCTTTAGGATACTCTCAGAAATAGCAGTGTTCAAAGATAGATTTATGAATAGTGCTTATTTATGTGTCTATTTCAGCTGTTTCTATTTTTCCTGTTCCATCCTGTCCCTTTGCCATTTTTTTATCCTTTATAAGAATCTATAGAAAAAAAACTATAAACAGAAGCATATGTAACATGTAAAGAGAGAAACTATAAAGCAGTATCATGTAACAGTCAAGTAAATAACACGGAGTACTCAGATATATACAAGCATTAGCAGAGTGTTGTGTAATTATGCTTACTAGATCTAAAAGTAATTACTGCATGAGAGACAGTGCAATTTAGGGAACTGAATTAATTGTATTTATCTGGTAATTACATAGTATCTTGTAAATAACCTGACATTACATTATAATTACCATCTGAAAAAAGCTAACTTAAAAGAAAGGAAATAAAAAGGACAAAAATTTTAGTTCAAGGAAAAGAGAATATGTATTTATTGCTTTGAAATCTGTACATTCCCTTCAAAGCACCAATTTTTCCAGTCAACTTTTTGGAAGGGTACAAAATCAAAGGCAATCTAAACCAAAGAAAATGTAATTTCTTGGCAAGCTTGCCCAGCAAATGACCTTTTCTAGTGATCATAACTGGTACTGAGTTTAATGAATTATATGATTAATACTTAGTCTAATGATGTATATGATGTATATACAGTCCGTCTGAACACACAGGTGCATGGAAATATACCAGCATAATATAGTGGATTAAAGCAACGATATGCCAAAGACCAGAAGAAGATCAAAGTATGAAAGATGAATAAAAACACCAAGATTCAGGACATGAAATTCCATAATCAAGAACTGTCCAAGAACAGCTGACCCCTCTCCATTTTTTTCTAAAATGGTAACAATTTTACATGGCAACATTGATGAGAACCAGCTGTTCAGAATCAACATTTTGGGATTATAAAATAGAAGATGAAGGGGACCACTGGCCCTATGTGTGTAGTTGAATGAAGTATGTGAGTGTGAAAAATGTAAAAGTTTCTCATTCTATAGTTTTTTATGTGCTATTTCACCCATTACCATTTCTATACTTGAAATCATTCCAAAATCAAAGGGGCTACAGTACAAATTTTGGTAGCTTTTTGACTATTAATTTTTAAATTAGCTTTCTGATTACATTAGTTCAGAAAATTGTGTTGATTGGCAATGTATAACTTTTAAATAGTTGTGCTGGAATTGAAAAATGCACTAAACGGATAATTATATTCAAGCTTTGATTCCATAAATCTATGCATTCCTTATTGGGTAGTAAACATGATCTTATTCTTAAAATGTAATCAATAATTGTAATAAATTTTTCAAGCAGAATAAAAAAAGAGGAAGTTAATAAAATAATAACAATATTGCTTAGCATTTATGTAACTAATCGTATTTTTATTTCTATATAATAGATAATAGTGAAGATAAAATGATTGCTTCAGATAAACATATGGAAGAGACTCTCATACTCTACATTCTTAAGATGTCCTAAAGAAAAATAATGTATATTTTCCTAAGAATATTGTACTATTTTGTATCCCTAACAGAATCCTTGCAATGTGTTTCGGACACATTATATCTATTATTTATTATTTATTGATTTGCTAACTGTATATCCTACCTTCCCTCCAACTACTCAAGGCATTTTCATTTTATTCTTATAACAGCAATTCTATGAAGTAGATTGAGGAGAGGGAGGAAGGGAGAGAAAGGAAGAGAGGGATGGGGAGAGGGAGAGGGAGGGAGAGAGAAACGGCACCAAATTCATCCAGTGGCTTTAAAAGTGGCCTGGAACCTTGATTTTCCCAGTCATAATCCAACATTTTAACCACTAGACCACACTGGTTGCTGCTGGTTTATTTCTGGCCCAATTTAAATGACTGATGTTGTCTTTCAAATTTTTGAACCCAAACAGGTTATCTTACAAAGGAGCACTCTCCAAACACATTTTTAGATATTCTTGGAGATCGTTCTGCATCAAGTTGTATGGATGTTTGTTAAAAAGATAATCTTCTGGATTATGGCTCTTGGTTGCAATTGGGGGCATAATAGTAATCTGTGCAGGCAGATATTATAGCTACTTTTCGATGCATAATTTGAAAAAAATCTGTTGGTAAAATATTTTGAATGGTTATTATTGGAGTCATTACATCCAGTACTCTCTCTTAAAAATTCCCATCATTATCACACTTACATGGTTATTTCTACAATGTTTTAACATTGATTTCATCTTTGAAACCACATGAAAGCAAAAGTCATGCATTTAATTAAAAATAAGATGAAATTGCCATAAATGTAATTGAAGGAAGGAAGAAGGTCCAAAAGAACCTCCTCAATGTCGCATGATTCTGACGCTGCTCTTAACCTATTATGCTGTTTGATTAATACATAAACATTCAAATTGGCTAAAAGATGCCCCCAATTAATTGGGCAGAACATGTTAATCAAATTTGATTTTAGTATAAAAAATGAGATCTATCCTCTCATTAGAAAATGCTCCTAAGGCATGCTATTACGGCACAAATATATAGAGTTACATAACATAAATATGTTTTTATCAAATAGTGTTTTTATTAAGATACAGATTTAATAAAAACCGTCTCTGGTAGAACATGATTATAAAAATTACAAGTCTGTGTAGTTAACCTTCATTGATGATATATTGATGATTTACCATTGGTATCTTCTGAGGGGTTTTTTATTTGTTTTAGTTTTCTAATCTAGTTTTCCTGCTATAGGATTTCCTGGTGGATCTCCCATTCCACTGTTATTAAGATCCACAGCTTATTAATGCTCATAGCTTTCTATCAGATTAAACTAAGATTACTAGGTATTTTTACTTGCTGTAGCAAATTTAATTAATTAATTACAATAGCAAAATGACAGTATGGCCCCTTGCATGTACCTGCGTGTATTTTTCTACTTATCCATAGCATTTTCTCAGATTTCCCCTTCTGATATGTACTCATTTCTATAAACGAAACAATAAATTGCAAGCTTCTTTTCAGATATTTACTGAAATCAAACTAAAGCTGAATTTGATACTAAAGTTTTAAATTCTGTATTTTCCCTCTCCATATTTGTTAGCCTTCAAGATAATCCAGACAGAAAACACCACCAGGAATATTAGCACTGTCTTTTATTGTAAGGTTGCATTAAATAGAATGCAAGGCTAAAAGTAGTTCTTCCCTCCTCTCTTTTTGTAGTCTCTGGAAAACTAGGGAGGGTCCCTTCTGAAACACTTTGCAAGCTTTTTCTCTGCCTACAGACTGAGTAGCCTCTTATCAAAATGCTGTAGGTCTTCCTCATGTCACTAAAAGTCATTCCCACACATCTTGACAATATCTAAGTTATATTCTTACCAGAAATGTTCAATCAGGAAATTTTATGGAAATTTTGCCCAAAACTAAAATTATATTTCTATACAATTGTAAATTGAATAATAAATTGCATTAGTGTAGCATCCTCCCTGCTGTTTAGCAACCACCATCACTCCCCGCCTGAACTACTGGATGCCATCTTGGGGTTGGCTGTAGAACAGGGGTCTTGAAACTTGGCCCTTTTATGACTTGTGGACTTCAACTCCCAGAATTCCTCAGCCAGCATGCATGGCTGAGGAATTCTGAGAGTTAAAGTCCACAAGTCATAAAAGGGCCAAGTTTCAAGACCCCTGCTGTAGAATTTCTCAGGCTTGTTTTCTTGGGAAAGTTCAATTTGCTGTCCCTGGGACAGACTTGGAAGCAACTCAGGAGTTTATGGCCAGCAAAGTGGCCATGTGCCCATCCGAGGACATTTATTGCCCAATTCAAAACAGTGGTCACATACCAGACAATTGGCATGGGGCCCAAAAATGCCATGCAACCATGGGGTGGTTGGTGACTTGAGGGTTCCTCTTTGGAATTTATCTTTTAAATTTTAATTAAAATATTTTAATTCTGTTTTTTAACTTTGCTTTTAATTATGTCTCTTTTCATGTGGCTGTATGGCTCTTATTTATAAACCACCCAGAGTCACTTAGGTGAGATGGGCCATGTATAAATTTGATAAATAAATAAAATACTATTTTAGATTCACGTGACTGGAATTATGTTCTTTTTTTTAAAAAAAAAAATAGTATTTATGTGGGATCAAATTGGTATTCTAGTATAATGAAAAACAGGATTTAATGTTTCTTCTTCCAAAACTTACTTTCCTTGGAAACAGAGGTGGAAGGAGTAATTCAAGACTGCTTTTATTATATTTCTTCTCCTATTTGATTCTGCCCTACAACTATTTCATTTCCCAACTGGTGGTTTATTTTTGCCAATTAGATTTAGTAGAGCAACATATTTAAGCACCCAAGTATTCCATTATCTTCTGGAAAATAATAAAATGAAGATGTTTAAATTAAATATGCTGTAGTATAACGTTATTTCTGACATTACGTGATACAGAAATCAGAAAAAAGGTAATTGATCATTCCAATTGTTTTTGTGAACATACTTGCTTTTCCTTTTACTGATATCTGAAATTATTTTCAATACAGGGCCCAGCCTTCTATCCCAGAGTGCACTTCAGCTTAATTCCAAATCGGAAGGATCTTTCCAATATCCATCAAGCTACCACAGCAACCAGACCCTGGCCCTCGGAGAAGGAACAGCATCCCAGCTCCCAGCCCGCAGCAGTCAAGCTAGAGCTTTACAGAATTATGGTCAGGTATGTTTGGAGAAGCAATCATACTCATTTATATTTATTAATGTTAAGATTATTGAACATTATTTTGACTGTAAATAGTTTACATGCATACACAAACTTCACTTACATGTTAAAGAACGTGCTTCTAATTTAGCACAGCATAATTAATAAAATCAAGCAAACAAAGAAACAAAGCATTTGCTGAAGTGCATAGAGCTGTGGAAAAGGTGGAGGCTTTCTCTGAAGTAGCCCCTACTTTATGGAAATCTCTCCTTCCAGAAGTAAATGTAACTCACACCTGTCTCGCTTTTCAAAAGTACATCTTTATTTCATTGTGCTTCTGGACAAAGCTGAATGCTGGTGCTCTGATGCTTTTGTTTTTTCAATATAAATACTGTTATATTATTTGTGTGTTTAATTGGACTGGTGTTGTTTTTACTGGTCACAACCTTGGAAGGGAAGTAGCACAGAGAGATCCTAAAATAATTAAACATTTGTTTAGAAACTTGTGATTGTATAATTTTCCTTTAAGTTTATATAACTCTGAAATTCTTGGGGAGGAGGAGTTAAATACAGTTATACAAAACTCTGAAAATTAGAGCTACAGGTGAAACTCAAAAAATTAGAATATCGTGCAAAAGTTCATTTATTTCAGTAATGCAACTTAAAAGGTGAACCTAATATATGATAGACTCATTACATGCAAAGCAAGATAGTTCAAGCCATGATGTGTCATAAGTGAGATGATTATGGCTTACAGCTCATGAAAACCCCAAATCCACAATCTCGGAAAATTAGAATATTACATGCAATCAATAAAACAAGGATTGTACAAAGAACAATATCGGACCTCTGAAAAGTATAAGCATGCATATGTACTCAGTACTTGGTTTGGACCCCTTTTGCAGCAATTACTGCCTCAATGCGGCGTGGCATGGAAGCTATCAGCCTGTGGCACTGCTGAGGTGTTATGGAAGACCAGGATGCTTCAATAGCAGCCTTCAGCTCTTCTGCATTGTTCGGTCTCATGTCTCTCATCTTTCTCTTGGCAATGCCCCATAGATTCTCTATGGGGTTCAGGTCAGGTGAGTTTGCTGGCCAATCAAGCACAGGAATCCCACGGTCATTGAACCAGGTTTTGGTGCGTTTGGCAGTGTGTGCCTCTCCATTCTTCCTCCAGACTCTGGGTCCTTAGTTCCCAAATGAGATGCAAAAGTTGCTCTCATCAGAAAAGAGGACTTTGGACCACTGAGCAACAGACCAGTTCTGTTTTTCTTTAGCCCAGGTAAGACGCTTCCGACATTGTTGTTCAGGAGCAGCTTGACAAGAGGAATACGACATTTGAAGCCCATGTCCAGGATCCGTCTGTGTGTGGTGGCTCTTGATGCACTGACTCCAACCTCAGTCCACTCCTTGTGAAAGTCCCCAACACTTTTGAATGGCTTTTTCCTGACAATCCTCTCCAGGCTGCAGGTCATTCCTGCTGTTTGTGCACCTTTTTCTTCCACACTTTTCCCTTCCACATAATTTTCTATTAATGTGCTTTAATACAGCACTTTGGGAACATCAACTTCTTTTGCAATTACCTTTTGAGGCTTTCCCTCCTTATGGAGGGTGTCAGTAATGGTTTTCTGCACAACTGTCAGGTCAGCAGTCTTTCCCATGATTGTGATTCCTACTGAACCAGACTGAGAGACCATTTAAAGGCTCAGGAACCCTTTGCAGATGTTAGCTGATTAGAGTGGGACACTTTGAGCCTAAAATATTGAACCTTTTCACAATATTCTAATTTTCTGAGATTGCGGATTTGGGGTTTTCATGAGCTGTAAGCCATAATCATCTCACTTATGACACATCACGGCTTGAACTATCTTGCTTTGCATGTAATGAGTCTATCTCATATGTATATTAGATTCACCTTTTAAGTTGCATTACTGAAATAAATGAACTTTTGCATGATATTCTAATTTTTCGAGTTTCACCTGTATATAAAAGTTGTTTCATTTTTATGATTGGTTTGCACATCTACCTGTGAGCTTTACATCTTTCTGACATCCAGATGTGGCCAATACATGAATTTCAGAATGCAAACTCTTGGGTGCTGCATATGATTCATAATTGCCGCCATATATCATGCTTCCCACTAAATCATTAAAGAAATATATTGTAAGTCTGAATTATTACTCTACATATTCAGATATTTTAATTGTGGAATGGTTTAATTATGCAACAATTAAGCCGTGATGGTATCAGCATCCTTTGGATTTCTTTTCAATGTTGCCTTCTAAGATTGTATAGAAAGCTTGAGAATACTTTGGCAAAATAAAGATCCGTGAAAAATATGTAGAACACGTCCCAAGCATTTCCTAAATATTCTGGACGTAGTGGCACATTCTGCATTTTGAGAAACAACTATGAACATTATCATAAAACCACTGCAACAAAGAGTATGCCAATTCACAGAACAGCTGTATTTTAATGGTACAGGCAGTCACAATATACATATACACTTCACAGAAAACAAACTGATAATGATAAGAGAGGAATAACTTGCTCAAGAGCCTAATTACAAAGCAGTAGGGTCTGAATCACCAAAACACACATTTGTTGTTTAGGATAGTTATTTCATGGAAATAAATTTTGATTTCTCTGAAAGTAAGAAAATTTGATTTCTCTGAAAGTACAAAGGAGATCCCAAAGTCAGATTATATTTATTTGTGTTCTATAGTTAAGTGAAGACATTTTCAAATTTCAAATACAGATCTTACCTGGCAGTTCTTTAATTTTATTGTCCTTCTGATTCAGTGTTGTTTTTATCTTTTACCTTTGTTATTGATTGTCAATGTATATTGTTTTTATATAAACCACCATATTTTTGTAAGCCACTTTAACAATGATTTTTGCTGGAAGATAAAAATGGAAATTGTGTTTCTTAAAATACATAGATATACCGTGTTTCCCCAAAAGTAAAGCCTACACCAAAAATAAGCCCCAGCTTGATTTTTGGGGTGGGCCCAATATGAGCCTACCCCAAAACTAAACCCTAGTTTTGGGGCGAGACACATGCCTAAAAATCAAGCTAGGGTGGGGGTGGGGGTGTGGAACTACCCCACCCACCCTGCACCCACGTACCTTGCAGCCAGGCCTCTCCTTGCTGGCCCACTTCTTCTGAGGCCTCTTCTGCAGCCAGGCCTGCATTTCTCAGTCACAGGGCTTTCCGGAAGGCCTGTGCAGCCAAGAACCAAGCTATGGATTCAATCTGTAGCTTGGTTCTGCCAGACTTCAGCAGCCGAGCACTAAGCTATGGATTGAATCCATAGCTCGGTACTTGGCTGCTTAGGCCTTCTGGAAAGGCCTGACTGCAAAATGCAGGCCCGAATGCAGCTGCAGAATTTCGGCCCCAGGAGAAGTGGACTGGCTGGGTGGGGCTGTGGGTGCCGGAGGTGAGGTAAGGCCTACCCTGAAAATAAGACCTGGTGCCTCTTTTGGAGGAAAAAAAATAAGACCCGGTCTTATTTTTGGGGAAACACAGTAGTAAATGCACCTAATCCTATTTTTGTTGATAAATTTTGGTGATAGGTTTGTGTACTTGTAGTATTTCTAGATTTGGAGATGCTTCGTAAATAAGTATCTTTGTTAAGTTGATGAAGCTCTTAATTAATATACCTACATGCATTGCAGTTATAACAGACCACATTGATATATTGCAAAAGCTTTTATTATTCCAGTTAAAGTGATCATTGGAAATACACACATTCGGTCATATTTTTTAAAATTGTTCCTAATAGTTTTACTGCAGTCTCCAAGATGGAATTCAAAGCACTTCATATTTCTCATTTTGCAAAAGGGATGAAGTGAGGAAGGACCAAATACCTGACCATCTTAGCTAGTTGATTTAGTATGCAATGAAAGGGAAGAAAAGTCTTAGTCAAGTAATTGTATTTTTTACTGTCACAGTGAACTATTTCTAGACTTTTCTAGAAATTCTACAAAGTACCAATAACTCTTCTTGGTACTTTGTGGAGTTTGAGCTTGAATAATTATTTGCTGCCCCAACCATAGAAACTAATGTATTATATCTGTTAGATGAGGCTGTATAATAGTCAGAATAAATTGTAGTAGATTTTTCCTAGAAGTAAAATGATTGCACAAATCTCCATGTCACATTTGACTATGGTCTTTGATTCTTTATTCTCTTTCTCCACATTCGTATAGTGTTCTTTTCTTTTAAAAACAATTATGTTTTTTCTAGATCAGAATGCTGAAAACAAAATGTTGAAGTGAAAAAGTGTTAATTCACTGGATTTCTTAACATAACCTTTTTCACTTACTTAAGTAACAATCCTTCAGAAATGATGTACATGTTTATGGATCCAGACAAAAACGTTAGGGTTTCTGGCAGCTATTCACATATCCATTTAAGGGAGCTGATTTCAAAGAAAAAAATGTTACTGTAGTTCAGTCATGCAAATGGTTTTATGTGTGTACACAGAGAGAGAAAGACAGAGAGAGGGAGGAAGGGAGGGGGGAGAGAGAGAGAATTTTCTACCCTTGAGTATGGCTTTTTAAAGACTTGAGCCTTGCTGTCTAACACTAAAAGAAATCCCACAGTTCACACTAACATATCATAGAAACACAAAATCTCCTCCAAAAAAGGAAAGGCTCAAAAAGTATTTCACAATGATAACTTTACCATTCTGAAAATAACAACACTTTTTGAAACCCTAATTATATACACATTTATTGTGGCAGGAGTTTATCATGTACTTTGTCAGAAAAAAATATCTGGAATGCTGTCAGTATTTGCATACAACATTGTGATTTTTTTAATCAGTTCTTTTTTGTAAAGTTTATTTAATATGTTTCAGTTTGTTTCTGCTGAAGATATTTTAAAAGATATTTTAAAAGTAAAGGCAACGGTTATATAATGCATAATTAATCTAAATAGGAATATACAGAATTAATGGATAAAGCGACACGCATTTATTTTCTGCATCGATATAAATAGGATAAAAAGCTTA